AAGTGGAAGGGTGTACAACAGTCATGTAGGCGCTAGGGGCTTAGATGCGTCATGGTGGTTGGTCTGGCTGCAGGAAGTTCCAGTCTCTGCCGGACTCAACATCCCCAAGCTGATGCTTGCACTTTACAGTCTGCAGGGCCTGCAGCCGTCGCGCGTGGGTTCTCTGCTCCATGGCGCATCATGCTGCGCTCAGCCATCTGCCCTTCCTATATCCTCTAGAGACAACCAAAAGCCTGCAACGAGTCAGCTAGATGGAGTCGTACACGGCAAAGCTGCACCGTTGCCAGAGGCAGCGGGTACTGTGGAGAGACCCGCCAAGCCCGCAGCACTGAGCGAGCTGTGCGCCCAGTATGCTGACCTCAGTCTCGTCCCAAACATGTGAGAGGAGTGACACAGAGCATTGGTGACTATGGTTGATGGCGACCAGGAGGTGCTGCGGGATGGCTGCTGCACATCTACCAGCTGCAATGCCTGTGCTCCCGCAGGATTGGCACTGGCAGGCAGCACCACCACACATGCCGCCCACGCACCCTGCATGCAGCCTCTGACGATGCTTGGAGTGTGCTGGGATTGCACTTTCTGGGTGACTGCTGCCGCCCATCTGCATTGATGGTGCTGCGAGACTCATGCGGCTGCCGATGGCGGCCACTGTTGGAAGACTACGTCGAGCAGGTCAGCCACCCTGCACACCGCTGGTGTCTTTCCAGTCCTTTCTCGTTTCCACTTGTAACCCACACCTGGAGGATGCTGTAACAGATGCACAGCAGCATGTAGGGGACAGGGGATCTGTCTACATGGGGTCGGGAAGTCTGAGTTTCAAGCTATGCGCATCGTTGGCGCCCCTGCCCACACTGGCTTCCATCATTAGCAGGGATGCAGGAGCACATTTACACATGCATATCAGAACGAACAAAGACATTGCATCCTTTCATCTTCTTTGGCATGCTTTGTGAGACACTCTTCCCTGGACTTGGCCTTGGCTTTGCATCTGCTGCCAGTGAACCTGCATGCAAAGTACTCCCAGGCATCGGCATCCCATAGTGACACTTCCTGCCATCCAGCCCCTCCGTTTCCGCTTCCCTTGTATGTCTTCATGCGACCTTGGCAGATGTGAAGATGCACTGTGCTGACATTTACACTCCAGACATTCCCTCTAATCTGTTGTGTCGACATGCAGGAGGAGCAGTCTAGAGAAGTTGTGCCACCCTGCACATTGGGTTGGCGACATGACATCATGGAGTGCTAAAGAATCAAGATTAGTAGACACTGTGTGCTGTCTTGTGTGCATGCATGTAGCTTGCTCTAGTCACTCCTGCAGACATCTGTCAGTGCTGTGCAGGGTCTCAGCCGCATGCCGAGCTGCACCACAACAGTCAACATCGTCTCTGGGATGGTGTTGTGAACGATGCCAAGTGTACTGGAGACAATCTGGAATGAGAGGATGGATGCACT